ATCGGGACGTACGGGCGCCAGAACCGGCGGCAAATTTGAAAATTTTTTAAAACGATTATTTCATAGCAAAACATTCCTGTATCAAAGCATTTCACATACATTTTGTCCCTACTGCTTTGTCCTGTGCCCTGCCTGCATTTTGACTGTTCTTTTTGCCTGGAAACTTAGAAAAGTCCACGGCGTCCAAAAAGCGTCCCTTTAGGTCAAAATCAGTTTTAGACCAGCTAGAGAACAGTGATAGTAAATCAGAACCACTTGCAGAATTGAGTGATAATGATTCATGGGGGAAATTCGTCATCAGACACTGAAAACGATTTTGCGACTTTGCTCAGTGATGTGCGAACTTGGCGCTATATTTCAAATTTCAGTGTTTTTGGTTTGATTATATTATTGAATTAAATGTATTATTATTATATTATTATTTTTTATGATTATTTATTAAATTATAATTTATGATTTTGTGTTTCAAGTTTTATCATATCCGGAATGTTTACTAGACTCTTGTTCAGGCAGATTTCAGTGAGTTATTCCCAAATTACAGGCCTACAATAACAAAAATACATATTTCCATGCAAAAAAATGGTACCGCTTTTGGTACAAAATTCCTGACATAATCATACCCCCAGGGAGGTTAATATCACTTTAACTCGGTTTTCCTGGTGATGGCGTCTTCTTCCAGACTGTCCCTTGCTTCTTGGAGTTCTGCAAAAAAACTCTTCCTTTCTCTTTCAATTAGGGATGCACTGAAACGTTTTGACCAAAAACAACCCTATCGACCTTTGGCCAATATGAAAATAAGCACCGATACAGGTGCCAAAAATACTCCAGATCTGAATCAGATTTTAAGGTCTCCTTGCCACCCTCATCAGTCATACTCAGAATTTGAAAGGCTTCCTCACTAGTGTACATTTTGTGGACATTTTTGGCAGTGACTGTACTGAGACCTGATGACACTGGCACAGTGGAGTATTTAGGCCTTGTGTTGCCCTAGGCAACACAAAAATCAGGCGCCCCCTCGCTCTGGCACCGACCACCCACCTGGCCTGTCCCCACGCCCACCCCCACCCGAGAGAGAGAGGGTGCTGACCTTCACATCTCCCAACATCCCCAGGAACAAAAGTCAGGCTCTCCCTTCACCCTCCAGCAGCCTGAGGAAGGGCACCAGGGGAGGCTCTGCATGAGATGGAGGGTGTAAGCAGTGCCCAACTCTTCTGTGTCCCTTCTTCCGGATGCGGTGCCACCATCCTAGAAAACGTTGCCCAAAGCAAACGCCATTTGTGCGTCGCAGTAAACATTCAGCACCCATCCCTCCACTCCGCTTTTCCCCCGGATCCCTGCACAGACAATGGGCAGAGCCGAGGTACGGTCTGCTCCCAGGAAGCACTTGGAGGCTCCTCCTCTCCTTTGGCTTGTGTGGGCCCTGCAGAATCGGCCGCTCAGTGATACAGATTCATGGGGATCAGGGGCGGACTGACCATTTGGAAACTCGGGCCCGGGGTCAGTAGGGGGCCTCATGAGATGCCCCTGGTACCTTTTTCATAGGCTTTTTGAAGTTTGGGCAAGGACACAGGGGCCCATGATCCCCTATTGCCCGGGGGCCCCATGAGTTGTCAGTCCGCCCCTGATGGGGATGTGACCAGATAAAAGAGGGGAGGGGTTGGCTAAGGCTTATGTCGAACGGGAGGAGTGAGTCTAGCTGTGCTAATCCGCCAACACGGCGTGGCGCGGAATCTGCCCGTGATCCGGCCCGGGGAGTAGGACACTGAACACCCTCTCCTCTGATGGCGTACACTGGTTGGTAGTGATCAGGAGCACTGTTGCTGGATTACAGTGGACTGACAACACTGGCACTGGTCTAGTGGCAATCAGGAACACTATGGCTGGCTGCACTGGTCTGGTAACACAGAGAATGATGTACTAACAATTAGGAACACTGTGACTCGCTGTACTAGTCTGGTGACACTGGCAGCAATCAGGAACACCCAACCAGCATAAGACAGCAACAGTGTTCCCGATTGCTACCAAACACCAGTCACAGTGTCACCAGATAAGTGCAGTCAGTCATCGTGTCCCTGATGACTGTGGCAGTAATCAGGAACACTGATTGGCGTACACTGGTATGGTGACACTGGCACTGGTGTGGTTAGTGATCAGAAACACTGTGGCTTGCTGTACTGGTCTGGTAAGGCTAGTGATCAGAACACTTGCTTGCTTACACTGGTATGTGGACATTGGCACTGGTGTGGCTAGCTATCATGGACACTGTAGCTGGCTGCACTGGTCTGGTGACACTGTGACTGCTTTGGCTAAGGACCAGGGACACTGTGGCTGGTTGCGCTAGCTTTAGTGACACTGACTGGTTTGGCTAGTAATCAGGGACAGTGTGGTCACAGAGCATACTTGTGCATGCTAGAGGGCATACATGAGCATTGCAGAGGGGAAGCCGTTTTAACCACTTGCTGCCCAGAGGCTGTTTATATATGGCCTTGTATATATACTGCCTCGCCAGCAAGCAGTTATACCAGGATCATGGCTGCATGATCCTTGTACCATTTTTTTTTAGAGCCAACAAAAAACTTTCCAGTAAAAGTGATCTGAGTAGCTTTACAGCCACCTGATCACTTTTACAGTGTGTAGAATAGCCCCTCCCCTCCACACTGCCACCCCATCTCCTCTGTGACTAGTGAAACTCGAAGTGATGAGGATTTCAGGGCCATCATTCCGTACCAGCCACGTAAGCATCTGATCAAAAAAGATCTGTGTGATCAGATGCTTTGAAAGGCAGGGGAGACATTTAGACCCATGATATCTCAATACAGAGTACCTGTCACTGCCAAAAGTTATCACAAGGAGCTTGTTCACCCCTTGTGATAGCAATAATATCAAATGAAAAAATATTAAAAAGTTTAAAAAATGTAAATGAAATAAAGAAAAATAATTACAAACATTTAAAAGCACCCCTGTCCCCTCTTGCTTGCACACAAATGCAAACGTGCATGTAGGTCCAGTATACATATGTAAACAGTGATTGCACCAAACATATGAGGCATCATCAAGAATGTCAGGGTAAGAATAATATTTCCAGTGCCATAGCTCACAATTTAACTCTAAACTGATAACCTGTAAAAGCTTTTAGAGCACCACCTATGGGCAATGTCACGGTTCCCCCTGCTCCTCGTTCTCCCCCCCCCCTGGATCCCTGCACTCCACTGCCCCATTGCATGCCCCTGCGCCCGCATGTAGCCCACTTAAGTGGTGTGCCAGGCGCCAGGGAGCTTCCTCCTGCTGGGGACTTCCACACCTTTCATCGGCCGAGCACCAAGGAGTCTGCCTCTCCACTGCACCTGCATGTGGATTCCCCACATGCAGGCCATCTATCCATCGCCAAGCGCCCCTTCTGTTGTCTCGGTTAACACAGTGCAGCCCCGATGTTCCTGCGCTCTGCGCCCGCTGGAGACAGAGACCGCGCTCCCTGTGGCCGCAGTGAGGGTGTGGGGCTTATTGCTACAGCAACCCAATGCCTGGGCTTGTGTTGCCTGGCAACCTGAGAGCCTCTTGCTCCAGAGGTAAATACCGGAGCAGGACCCAGGCACAAGCAGTCACTCCCCTGCTCGCTCTTCTCCTCCCCCTGCTATTGTGCTGTGAGAGGTGCTGCAGCCAGACCCTACAGCCCCCTCTCCATCCCAGGACCCGTGGACCTTTGAGGAGCCTGGCTGGCCTGCCACTGCTAGTGGCCACTTGCTCTCTCAACCGTTCTCCAGAGTTCTGCCGCTGTGCTGTGTGCCAACCCCCGTGCTGAGGACTTAAACCTTGTCCACCAGAGTTCTGCCTCCTTGCTGTGTGCCAACTCCTGTGCGAGGACATACCCCTTGCCTCCCTGTTGTCGGTCCAGACTGTGCTATGGACTAACCCCCTTTTGGCTACCAGAACTCGGTGATCCTTGTTGTGTGCCCACCCAGTGTTACGGACTTAACCTTTTTTTTTCTACCAGAACTCTGCTTGCTATTCTAATTGTGTGCCCTCACTGTCACTCAATAGAAGCCTTGTGTGTCCCAGTGCTCTCCGCATGTGTTCTGTCCCACCTACACCTCCGTGACAAGCAATTTTGAGTACCATAGTTTGTTACCATGTCACAATAATGCGCCGTTTTAAGTCTTAATATGTTTGGTATCTATTTACTCAACGCAACATCATATTTTATATTTACAAAAAATTAAGTATTATATTTTGTTTGTGTGCACTAGAATTCATTTAAGTGTATTTTTTTCCCACAAATTGGTATCATGTTTAAGGGTTCTAAGTAATTTTCTATTAAAAAAATGCTGATTTTAACATGAATGTTAAAAAAAAGTCTAAATTGCCCCATTAGGCAAGTGGTTAAAATGGCCTCCCACCTTCAAGAAGCAGCCATCCAGCAATTTTTTTTATACATCGAATAGAAAACAAATTGTTAACAAGGACTATGCTAAATTCAATAAAAAAAAAAATATAGTAATCAAATAACATTGCTAAAAAAGATAAATATTGCGATTCCATAGGGAGCGATTTTTATTCATTATTATGATTCAATACAAACAATAGTATGATATCTACCTCCCACTGCCAAGGGGGTATTTACAAAATGTATTTGTTACATTATCTGCACCATTACATTGCAACAGTTTGCACAGATTATTTGCATTGCAACATTTATTCTAACTCAAACAGGCATACATACATCATACAGATAAATGAAAATGTGTTTTTCAGTTTTTGTATTTAATTATGTTAGTTTATGTGTTATATATATATAATCTTTGTTTTACAAATAAACATTTAATTTTAAACCAACTAAGCATTGCAGGTTTTTGAAAAAGAGGGCAAGTGTTCAGAATTTTTCAAAAAATGCTTCCACACTGCTCCTTTATTGCTCTGAACTTCCATGTACATGTTCTTTTAAATTTCCTCCTATGTCTACCTCAAGCAACAAAGTGGTCAAGCTGAAGTAATATTACACAACGTTAGTTATCATCTTCAATACTGTGACACATCACATGATCCTCATACACTTGTCCATCTTGGAACTCTACAGAACAATATGGGCAAACCTGTATTGTCGGTATTTGTAGCTCTTCTTGATCCAATCTGTGCCCAAGTGGTTCATTCTGTGCAAGGGGTATACAAATTGAATTAAATTGCAAATTGTAACAATTGTACTTACAGTAAAAACATTTTCTTAAAGTCCACTGAGGGACATGGAAATTTAGGAGTTCTTAAACAATCGGATTATACTTATGCCCACATGAAGTTAGAACACTGGTGAAAAAAATCAGTAACAGCAGGGTTGAGTCACAGTAGTAAACACATAAAAAATGCACCGAGTCGCATTGCAGTTGCACTAAAAAATCTCACTGAAAATCTTATCAAAAACACATTGCACTAATGCAGGGGCGGACTGACAACTCATGGGACCCCCGAGCAATAGGGGATCATGGGGCCCCTGTGTCCTTGCCCAATGTCAAAAAAGCCTATGAGAAAAGGTACCAGGGGTATCTCATGGGGCCCCCTACTGACCCCGGGCCCTCGGGCAGTTCCCGAGTTTACAAATGGTCAGTCCGCCCCTGCACTAATGTCCCAGTTGCTAGGACATGCTTTGCTTTGCTGGGTTTTTTTTGCCTTCCTCTGGATCAACTGTGGGTTTAGGATTATAACTTTTTTCTTTTTTTTTTCTATGGTTGAACTGGATGGACTTTTGTCTTTTTTCAGCCGAACTAACTATGTAACTATGACATTGGTGGTTGCCTGCTTCTTAGCAACTGTCAGCAATCTAAGACTGGCTCTGCTCATTTTTGTGTGCATGTTCATACTCGTGAGCATAGTTGTATAACTGGACTTGGCAGAATGAGAATGCGTACATGTCATGGTGCACATGTGCATGCATGGGCACATCCACAGATTCTGATGCCTGGTGACCTATTTAAACCAACGGCCTGACAAGTATTATTGCTGGATGGTCTTCAGCTTTTCTGAGTGACTTGTGTTTCTGAAAGCCTGCGATCGGACCGGAAGTGGGAGCAGGGTACATGTCATACTCGGGTACCCACTCCCCCCCACCCCCCAAAGGTGCCAATCCTTAATGGAGAGCGGGGAAACAGTCCTTAAAGCGGAACTTTCCTTGTTGGGTGGAGTTCCGCTGTAATTGCACCAATTTCCTGGCACCTGCGCCTTTCTGCTACCCTAGTAGTCCCTGTCTCCACCACCAGGGATGCTTGAACAGGGACTGCGCAAGAGGCCCCCACATCAACTCGAGCTCCACTAACAGGTACAGTGGGGATCGAAAGTTTGGGCACCCCAGCTAAAAATTTGTATTAATGTGCATAAAGAAGCCAAGGAAAGATGGAAAAATCTCCAAAAGGCATCAAATTACAGATTAGACATTCTTATAATATGTCAACAAAAGTTAGATTTTATTTCCATCATTTTCACTTTCAAAATAACAGAAAACAAAAAATTGGCGTCTGCAAAAGTTTGGGCACCCTGCAGAATTTATAGCATGCACTGCCCCCTTTGCAAAGCTGAGACCTGCCAGTGTCATGGATTGTTCTCAATCATCGTCTGGGAAGACCAGGTTATGTCAATCTCAAAGGTTTTAAAAGCCCAGACTCATCTGACCTTGCCCCAACAATCAGCACCATGGGTTCTTCTAAGCAGTGTCTAGAAAACTGAAACTGAAAATAGTTGACGCTCACAAAGCTGGAGAAGGCTATAAGAAGATAGCAAAGCGTTTTCAGATGTCAATATCCTCTGTTCGGAATGTAATTAAGAAATGGCAGTCATCAGGAACAGTGGAAGTTAAAGCAAGATCTGGAAGACCAAGAAAAATATCAGACAGAACAGCTCGCAGGATTGTGAGAAAAACAATTCAAAACCCACGTTTGACTGCACGATCCCTCCAGAAAGATCTGGCAGACACTGGAGTTGTGGTACACTATTCCACTATAAAGAGATACTTGTACAAATATGGTCTTCATGGAAGAGTCATCAGAAGAAAACCTCTTCTACGTCCTCACCACAAAAATCATCGTTTGAACTTTGCAAATGAACATATAGACAAGCCTGATGCATTTTGAAAACAAGTTCTGTGGACCGATGAGGTTAAAATTTAACTTTTTGGCCGGAATGAGCAAAGGTACGTTTGAAGAAGGGGCACAGAATTTAATGAAAAGAACCTCTGTCCAACTGTTAAGCATGGGGTTGGATCAATCATGCTTTGGGGTTGTGTTGCAGCCAGTGGCACAGGGAACATCTCACGAGTAGAAGGAAAAATGGATTCAATAAAATTTCAGCAAATTTTGGATGGTAACTTGATGCCATCTGTGAAAAAGCTGAAGTTAAAGAGAGGATGGCTTCTACAAATGGATAATGATCCTAAACACACCTCGAAATCCACGGGGGATTACATCGAGAGGCGTAAACTGAAGGCTTTGCCATGGCCTTCACAATCTCCTGACCTCAACATAATTGAAAATCTATGGATAGACCTTAAAAGAGCAGTGAGTGACAGACAGCCCAGAAATCTCAAAGAACTGGAAGACTTTTGTAAGGAAGAATGGGCAAAGATACCTCAAACAAGAATTGAAAGACTCTTGGCTGGCTACAAAAAGCGTTTACAAGCTGTGATACTTGCCAAAGGGGGCAGTACAAGATATTAACTCAGCAGGGTGCCCAAACTCTTGCAGACGCCATTTTTTTGTTTTCTGTTATTTTGAAAGTGTAAATGATGGAAATAAAATCTAACTTTTGTTGACATATTATAAGAATGTCTAATCTGTAATTTGATGCCTTTTGGAGATTTTTCCATCTTTCCTTGGCTTCTTTATGCACATTAATACAAATTTTTAGCTGGGGTGCCCAAACTTTCGATCCCCACTGTATGTGACAGCAACTAATGACATTGTGCAGCCATTTGTGTCCTATCAACCGATGATACTTGTACCGCCACCAAATGAATGACTTCCTGTTGCAGCAACAAGAGGTTTAGGTAGGCAAACATGGCCAAATCTGGACATTTAGTTTGTCCAGTCCACAAACTGTGTAAACGAAAGGTTCTGGGAACCATAGATTTGGACCATGGCCCTGGACCTGTATAGCACTCTGAAGCTTACTACATTTGTTGCAATAACATGCCAAGGTGAGCACCCAACACAGGATCCAGTGCCTGAAACAAGCATTACAGGCCAGCCCCACTATAGAGGGGTCTAGGTATGGTCCCCAAGGTAAACAAGATATATAGGTAGACTTTTTTTCATCAGAGTTGAGTTGAAGAAATGGAGTCCAGTCCACTGGAACAGTGAGGCATTACAGTTAGAGGTTGAGTTTTACAGTGGTTGGCCTAACATATTTTGTTTGCCAGTGTCCATACTCCTGCAGGCAGCGGTATAACTGGACTGCTTAATAATTCCTAAATTCCTCTGCCCCTCAATGGACAATAAAGAAATAAAGGTTACCAGAGGATAGCTTCAAATGCCCTCAATAGCAGACAGACAAAGAGAATCTGATTGGTTGCTACAGAAAGCTTGTCTACTATCTTTTAAGTCTCCCTGCATTTAATTATTGGAAATGTGCTGTATGTGCAAATATAACCAATGGCAGTCTGGGCATTTTTTGTTTCATGAAGTTTTGCTACCATGACTATAATGGCATAATCATTGTAGTCATGCAAGTTTTGGACAGTTACACATCCATTTAAAGGATATGTAAACCCTAGAAATTGTATTTACTCCCTTTTGGTGTTTTAAACATACTGTTTATTGCCTTTTGTTATATCTGATCAATAAGAGCCAAAAAATAGCTGTTGAGCTTGCCAAAAATCTTGTAACACTATGCTACACTGAAATCCCAAGAAGTCTTAACAGACCAGTTTACTTATGTGGGCTACAGAACACCTAACCCTGTCTTATGTACGAACAAGTCCATGGAGCAAAGTATGCCCATTGAGACAGATCTTACCTGCACATCCACGCATATGCTGGCCTAGCACAGGGTGCGGAATTGACAATTATTGGGAGGAATTAAATAAAAGTGTCTGAGACAAGTTCTATCTCAACCAGTCTGTTGCCCATAGCAACCAACCAACTATTATCTTTCATATTATTCACACAGCTTACTGCACTTGCAGTGCCATTTATTGGTAATGGCACCCCCAAACATGCCAAGCAAGAAGCACGTTCTTACAATTAAATAAATGAGCAAGAAGGTGCAGTACTAGAAGCATAGTAAAAGCAAAGAAAAAACCGAAGCCCAAAATGTACATGAGCTTCTTTGCTGTGTTTGCCATGTGCAGGGCAGTCCTATGAAATTAAGTGAGCTGTTCAACTCACAAAGTGTGACAACGTGCAAAAACATGCATATGTACAACCAAGGCATGAACATATGACCTATCAATTTTATGAGGATATTAAGAACTATACTAACTACATTGGCTGCATGCATTTTACTTCTGTGGTCTGTTTACAGAAGTGAATCATGGAAAATTGACTTGGTCTGTACTGTCCGTAGCAGTCGATTTGATCTTCCTGATATTTATTGCCTTCCCAATTCATTTGGAATGGCTTGGCACACCATATCACACTAAAAAGGTGCATATGTGAATGGGACCAAAGTGACAGTCAAAAATTAACAAAGGAAAACACATGTAAGTAGATATTACTTTTGTTCTGGAATCCATGCAATTCTATATTCCTCTGATGCCAACCTGGTGGTCCCTGCTGAAAAGACTTGGCGGAATGCATTCAGGTATAAGTCGCCAATCAAAACCACACGTGAATATTGAATCTCTGCTTTGACAGGTTATGAGCAGTGCAAGCTGGGTAAAAAATTGCTATTATTCTAGAACAGTGGTTTCCAAACTGCGGCCCTTTGCTTGCTTTAATCAGGCCCTTAGGCCACTTTTGTCAGCAACAATGGAGCATAGTTCCTGCCCTTGAAACCTACAATGGGGCATTATTTCTCTCACTGACACCAAGGCTGGCGCATTATTCCTCTCACTGACACCAACAATGGGGTACTGTTCCGCCCCCTAATACCAAAAAGTGGACACTGTTTACTCTCACTGACACCGAGACAATTACTACTCCCGCTGGCCACAGTCCAGCCCTCCTAACGTTTGAAGGACAGTAAACTGGCCCTTTGTTTAGAAAGTTTGGAGACCCCTGTTCTAGAAGAAAGTCGAGATTTTCATATCCACTGTCTGCTTATAGGATTGACAACAGGTTAAACAGGAGGGATCACATAGTTTAACAACAGAAAACTGAGCAGTTCCAACATTTGTCCTTTAAATTTCAATCTAAAGCTGGCCATAGACAGTTCAAATCTCTGTCAGTCCCTGCTGATCTGGCCGAGATTCAAACCATGTATGGGCAGGCTGAATATACCCAAGTTGATCGATCAGTCAGCCTGGGGAGAACCAGCCTGTGGGATTTAACATGCGATTATTGCTAGTGGCTATTATAGCTGCTAGCAGTAATCACTATGTTCTCCCGGAAAGGACAGCTCCCCCCCCCCACAAGAACACAAGAGCTCTGCGGTAGGGATTTCTCCATCGACACTGACTGTGTTGATGGGGGAATCATATGATTTTCTTTCCTGAAACCCATGGTTACAGGAAAAAAAATTGCTCCATCTATGGCCGGCTTAAGAAAAGGCGTATCAGTCCACAACATAGAGACTAGTTCTGTAGTGCAAGATAAGAACTGTGAGAACTCCTTGAGAGGACACAAGAAGTGTGCACAGGACATAAGGCAGCTCTAAGTTTCAGACACAACAACAGGTGGACAGATATAACAAAAAGTCTACAATGGTACGTATATTTACCCAGCCATAAAGGGAGTAAATAAGAGAAGTTCATTGTTAAGGATTGCATACACTTTGAAGTAGTACTAAAGGCAAAACGTTTTATTTTTCATTTTGGATAGAGTGGAGAAAGATTAGAACCCCTGTCGGGTTTTACTACTGTCTGTGCTCCCATTAGGGAGATTCACCCTTTCTATTTGTCCTGTTTACCATTATCATTTAAAAAAGTTAAAGTACAAGAAAATCACAAATTTTGGGTTATCCAACAATATAATAGAGGGGAAATCTTCCAATGGGGGACACTAGTTCTGGTGACCTGTGGGCGCAAGGGATTCCATTAATATGCAGGGATTTCCTCTCACTTCCTGTTCTGGTTATGGAACAGGAAGTGAAGGTAAATTTCCCCAATTGAACACAGATGGCACTGACTATAACTCTCCCTTACTCTGTCCAAAATGTTTGCCTATATGCAACTTTAAGGTCGGGATTTGAGAACATTTAAGCAGGTAGTAGCATCTGTATACTATGTCATTTATACATATTTCTAATACTGCTTCTTGTTTCCACAGATGAGCAAAGGACAGCGAATCAGGGTTACCAAGGGTTATAAAAGCCACCGATGCAGTTGGCACCAGAGCCCAAGATGCTCATCTTACTTCACACATGGAATATCATATATACTCTCTCTATTTAAAGCGGAGTTCCAGCCGTTTAATAAATTTTTTTCTAAAGACACCCACGTGAGAGTGGCATCTTAGGCAATGCAAGTTGAGATCACCTGTGCTTGTAATCCTTTGCTTTACTTATAAAAAATAAAATTACTTAAGAAGCCTCATATTGTGAACGCTGCCATCTTAAGTGTGGGCACCTGAAGCCTACTCAGACATTCTTCCAGGAAATTGTGCAGCTGGCTACCCAGCATGCACTTCCCATTCTCGCAGTGTTAAGAAGGCGCTGCACTTTCAGTGTGAAGAAGGAGCAATCTTGAACCTGCGCAGTATGAAGAAATCCCCGCTAACGCGTCACTTCCGGTCTCATAATAACACAAGATTTTGGTATTAGGCATTCCCTAGGACTGTTGGGATAGATGACACCAATATCCCAGAAACCCTAGGAAATGCCTGATGATGTAATTGCCTAGGCGGCCGCAACAGGAAGCGGAGACAGAAATGATCAATCAAAGGTATTTAGGAAAAAAATATACATATATATATATATTGCCAAAATGGACTGTGAAAAGGCAGACCATTGTCTTTCAGGGGAGAAAAAAAAAAGCGGGAACTCCGCTTCAATGATGATGATCAGTTTCCCTTAGTCTTAAGGGAAGTTGCCACAAGCTTGTGGGCCACTTGAGCTTTTTAAACACCTTTCATATTGCTAATAGCAGTATCCAAATGCTCAAATGTTGTCTGAAATGATACAGTTCCTATTAGCATGAATTGAATATGCAAATGAATACAGTTGAATTGAAATGTTTTACAGTTTTGTAATCAATAACATTATCAAGTTTAATCAAAAAGATTTATTAAAATCTTTCCCACAAAGCTGGGAACCTGTGCTCTAGTAAATTACTATGGGGGGAATTTACTAAAAATGCTGCACCACTTTTCTGGCGCTAATCCATCTTGTTAATGAACTGCTCCAAATTCATAAAGCATTTGCAACACTTTTGGTTCTGACAACGACTTGTGCAACAAATTCAGGTAGTTCTAAAATGCACCACTTTTACATTGTGTGGTATTGAATGTGCCATTTTTACATTGTGTCGCATTCAAGGCTCCATTTCTACATTGTGTGGCATTGAATGCTCCATTTCTACATTGTGTGGCATTGAATGTGCCATTTCTACATTGTGTGGCATTGAATGCGCCATTTCTACATTGTGTGGCATTGAATGCGCCATTTCTACATTGTGTGGCATTGAATGCGCCATTTCTACATTGTGTGGCATTGAATGCGCCATTTCTACATTGTGTGGCATTGAATGCGCCAAATGTAAAAGTGGAGCTAATTAAGGCCAAATCTTTTTTGGGGTACAGAAAGAAAAACTGTCTCAGACAGATTTGGAGAAAGTGTCTCAAGTGAATTCTAAAAGTGGTGCAGCATGAGCCAAATTAAGGTACAAGTTTTAGAGAGGTACATGAATTTGGTACATTCTTCACCACATTTAGAATGCATGAGAGATAGTTTTGCAAAATCTGTCTGCGCCAGTCTTTATGAATTCCACTTTATGTGTTTTAAATACTACTGTAAATAACCTTAACAAAATGCTAAATGATGTTATCCAAACTCACCTGTGTTAAGCTCCTTGGAGAAAATTCTGAAAAAAATACAAACATATGTCAGATTATTATAATTACAACCTAACCATATAATGCCATATACATTGCTTTACTAAATGTTAACATTAGCGAACTAGCGACTTCAGTATTTCCCTGACTTGTCTTGAAACAAGTATATAAAGCATGAGCCAAGGTCAGTGTCTCAGAATATATTGAAGCCAGAGAAGGCCACACAATTAGCATTTTCAGAAGGAAGTCAGAGATGCCAGACTCTACAATTGGCTTTATTCACGGGGGCGCATAGACCCGTACCTCCCTGCAAAGGGTTGTGTTTATACACCCAGATAATGACAGGTGTTCTGTGCATCCAGCCTGTAAAAACCAATGCCAGCCTGGGAGTTGCAGCAGCTGTTTGGATTTTTCCAAGTGTTTACACCCACACAGAGATAGATACACAGGTCTGAACACAAATCTGCTTCTTGCTAATAGGAGTGGGCCTATACCTAATTGCTTTCACCTCATGTATTTGAGGTTTTATCTGGCCAACCCAGTTTTGTATCCAAGGTACAGTGCCTCTTCCGGACCTATGGCACACTTCTTTGGATTTGTTATTAAACTTACTTGTCCTATGGAGTTAAGGATTGCCTCTGCCCTGAGGAAATGACTCTTTTGGGCAGGGCCAAAGGCCAAAAACCAATACATCATCTAAGAAAGCCATTATGAAGTGCTAGACCTAAGAATCTCATTCATCGTTCACTGATGTGTAGCAGGAAAACCCTAAAGGTGAAACGTACTGGAAAAAGCCCTGCAGGGTAGTGGATGGTGTGTTTTCTTTTACCTCCTCCATTAGTGGCACCTACCAATAAAAATGGTCAAAGGTTGTTATGAATCCTCTGGGATCCATCCTCTCAATAAATTCAACAACTCTTGACATAGGCATCAAACTTTGATAGCTCATTCAATTTTCTGAAGTCACTGCAGAACCTCAATGCACCATCAGCCTCGGGAACCATTACCATTGGACTACACCACTTTGGTTTGGCTTCCTCAATTACCCCAAGATCTAACAGGCTCTGTACTTCCTTGGCTACTGCCTGTCTATGGGATTCTGAGACACAATACAGCCTAAGTCCAACTCAAGCCTTGGGGTCCATGATGTCATGCTAAAATATTTCTGTGCAGTTTGGCAACACTGAAAAAATATCCCTACTTCATTGCAGAAAATCTATCACTTCTTGCTGCTGGTCTGAAGACAGGGAATTAAATATCTAAATCTCCCATATGACTTCCTCTTTCTTAGGGGGCCTACCATCCCTGGCTAAGGGCTTCTCCATCTTTCTAGGCTTTAATTACATTTCCATGGCAGATCTGCTCCTTCTTCCATCTGTCTGGGTAGTATAATTTGAAATGTACTCCTCAACTATATTTAGTATCTCATAGGGTTCCTGCTATTTAGCAAGGAATTTATTTTCCACAGTGGGCACTAAATTGACTACATGATTCCCCGCTCTGGGCTGCATCCCATGTAAACAGACTCATGGCTGATATAGAAACCAGAAGTTTTTTTAAATTTTTTCATTTGACTGCCAGATATGTACTAGAAGTGATTTTTATAGTCCGTCTGATCACTTATATGTCCTGCATTAGTGCACCAGGACTGCAAGTTTGAAACCTGCAGAATATGCTGCAAATCCTTGGTAGTGTTGAATGCAAACCTCATCCTTAGCCAGCAGCTGAACTTTAAGAGGTTTTCACGGATGCTTGGAACAACCTACCACACAAGTACCTTCAGAAACTGCATGTCTATCGACCTGAAAAAATGCACTGCCTACAGTTTCATAACCCCTTCCTGATGACTGCCCTTTAAGTGTGCTTTAAAGTGTTACTAAACCCACAATAGTAAAATCGGCCTGTATATGCAGTAAAGCATGCTTGCTATACTCCCTGTGGAACCTAAGGGGTTAATCCTCTGAATTGTGTAAAAATGCTGCTTGATCCTTCCCTTCTTCCAGGACCCCCCCTCTTATCTCCTGATAAGACATATCATGTGAAGAAACTCCACACATGCTCAGTTTGGTGTATATTGCTAGAGAGATATTTTTTTTTTGACAAGTGCATGTGATCAGAACAGGGCCAATCAGCACTGTCCAAACAGAGGTCAGGGGTTCTGCATCCTCCTACAGCAGAAAGAAAACTCCTACAAACTTTAACCAGTGCTCTGGTGAACACTGATAGAAGTCACAAGACTGCTCTAACTGCTAAAATAATTGCATTTCCATGTTGTGTGTACTGTGGGAAACCAGATAGAGTGAATGCAGGGTCCTGGGTTTAGTAACACTTTAATGTTGGCAGGTGGAGTGGCTCAGGTGACTGCTGTGGTTGGCTTGCTGGCTCCCAACCAGAAGCCATGACTGAGAGCTTTTGGAGACAGCTCAGTCAGCATGCTGGGAGCGCACAGCGAACGTGTTCCCAGCACACAACCTCAGACTACCACCACATACATATGTTATTGGGAAGAGAATAATGAATATAGCCTAATCCTGGCCTTTTTCATTTTATTTTTTTTATTTTTTAGATTTTTGTTTTATATTCCATGAACTGCTTATTTGTAATGGTGTGATGTTGTGACTTATTTAAAAAGTATATATAGCCAAATATTTTATTTTTGTATTTTTTTTTTTTACATTTTGGAGAGCAAGGTAAAGTTTTGGCTATGGTTGAATAAGGTCGTTAGGAAAAGTCTTGGCAGCTTGCAATCATTGTAGAATTAGTTTTAAAATTAGCTCAATGTCAGATTTTTATTGCTCTGCCCCTGGTGGGTAGATTCACCCTCTCCATTTGTCCTAGTGGCCATTAATAACAAAGACAGAATGTAATAGAAATTTCTAAATATTACAATTGTCACCAGAAAAAAAGCTGACTGGAAATCTTCCAAAAAGGACACTTGTTCCAGTGGCAGATAAAAAGGAATTTCCTCTGATTTTGTAAAAATGTACTCTCAATATTGCAACTCCAAGACAGGAAGTAAAGGGAATTCTTCTCAAACGGACACAGGCAGCTCTGCGTTATGTTGCAAATATCTCTTCATGCACACATAATAAGCTAGCATGGTTACCTGGACTGTAATTTATCAGCTCCAGTAAAATAGCCGTAATAGCACAGGGCTCATAGAAGATGGCTGTATTTCCATGGCAGTGACAGTGCTATGTAGTCTCTTGAAGTTCCACTTGTACAACTCCACATTACTGTGTAGGACACAGGGGCGGACTGACAATTCATGGGGCCTCTGGGCAATAGGGGATCATGGGGCCCCTGTGTCCTTGCCCAAACTCAAAAAAGCCTATGAAAAAGGTACCAGGGGCATCTCATGGGGCCCCCTACTGACCCCGGGCCCTCGTGCAGTGCCCAAGTTTCCAAATGGTCAGTCCGCCCCTGGTAGGACACCATCTTCCTGTGGCTTTTTGAATCATGTAAAGGCATGCGTGACCTAAGAGAACAGTAGTCATATGACCTACAGAATATATGTGACCATGTTGTCAAATAATTTTTGTAATTGGCCTTATATGTGAAGAATCAATGCTGTAGGTTTGTGTCCTTGTCTCCTGTATATTGTCAAGCATATTATGCTTGCACATCAACCATGCTACTGTAATATGCTAGATGGCAGTTGCCACCTTGCTGATATACAACAAGGAAACCTTATACATGTGCATAAGAATGTCAGTACCACGTTGCAAGAAATTCCACCATCAAAAGTTTCCATTCCCTGGAATGTTTGGCCTTGGCATAGACATACAGGTTAAAATGGCAATTAAAGGTGCTTTTTAAATTGTAATTAGTGTCTGTGTATAAATAGTCAATGAGTTTGTTAGCTCTCAAATTAATGCACTGGACAGGCTAGATACTGAGCCATGGGGAGCAGAAAAGAACTGTCAAAAGACCTACATAACAAGGTAATGGGTCTTTATAGATGGAAAAGGATATAAAAATATATATACAAAGCCTTGAATATGCCAGTCAGTACTGTTCAATCACTTATCAAGAAGTGGAAAATTCGGGGAACTCTTGCTATCAAGCCAAGATCAGGTAGACCAATAAAGATTGCAGCCACACTTGCCAGAAGAATTGTTCAGGACAATACATTGAAAGTCAGGAGAAGTACAGGCTGCTCTGGAAAAAGACAGTGTGTTTGATTTGAAGGAGCACAATATGATGATAGTTGAACAAAAATGAGCTGCATGGCCAAGTTTCCAGAAAGAAGCCCTTACTGCGCCAATGCCGTAAAAAAAGCCTGGTTACAATATGCTTGACAACACCTTGACATATCTCACCTGGATTTTTTTGTGGCATTGGCGCAGTAAAGGCTTCTTTCTGGCAGCTCTGTCAATATCAATACCAATATCAAAATTTCACAATTTCGCAGGATATGCAAACTTTTGAGCACAACTGTATATCTAATGCAGCTGTGAGAACCAGGTGTGTGTCTTCCCATAACTGTGTGTCTGTGTGGATGAGATTGTCTGCCCTCACTCTGGTCATGCAATAGCTCCATAGTCTGTGTACTCCATCAAGGGCACATGGTGACAACAAAGGGAAGAAAAAATGAAGCTGACAGGAAGCAGAAGAAGAGCGGGGAGGTGAGAGCACACACTCAGAGTAGGGAAAGGGTTAAATCTCTAGTTAATTTTTTTCTGCAAGCATCCTATTGTAGAGACTTCCTTCCCCTTACTGTGCTTTTAGACAGTTGTCCCTAAAGCATATGGCAAGATTGTTGTTCTGGTGACAACATTAACATTTTGGATTTCTCATCACTTTCTGTTATGGTGACAACAGGACAATAGTCAGGGAGCATCTACCTAATCCTTTATAGAAAAGCCAATGATTGTCATCATAAATCTAAAACATAGGCATAAGTAACACAATATATACAGTATATTTTGGATAAGGTAATTGGAGCAAAACATAATTTCGGAAGAGGAAAAAAAAATGTCTCTGAACATGTAGGACTGACCAATAACTCCTATGAGTATAACATTTTACCAGAAGTTCTAGTGTTTTAGGTAACATAACATATAAAGCATGATTGCATTTTAATATGTTTTAACAGGGGCCAAATTAGGCCATAAAAAGAAATGAAATGGGCACAGTTTCCAAACAGCGAAAATAGCCAGTTACACCTCTGCATCAATAACTGGACTGCATAGAGTGCTATACAAGTGGGTGTTATGGCTGCCATAACTGCAATGATGTCCAGAACTCAATAGGACACAGTGAACACTTACAGCCATATATAGCAGACAAAGCTGGCTATATACAAGACTTTTTGATCCTTTGTATGGGAATGCGCAAATCCTTTTTAAACCCACATAGATATCTACAGTTTACTGCCTGGGTTGTCAACTGTCTAGAAATGCATGGGGCTTTTTTAGCAAAAGGCAAAAACTGTTTTTTGAAAAACTGCTTTGTTTTGTGAAAAAAGCAAATGGCTGTAAGTATATATCAAACATTTTATTTATGTAGGTATAACTGAAAAATGTATGTTTTCTTGCTTTTTTCAAAAAATAAAATAAGTCTCTGCATTTTGTGTATCTTTCTGCAAACGGCTGGCCACTGGCCTGGGCCTTGCTCAGGTTAAAGCCAAAGTTGGATTAATAAAAAGTGATGAGAGGTATCCATTTTATCACAGAAGAGACTGTGGATGCCTCTCCTGTCATAGATGTTTCTCTTGCCATGACAGAAATTCTTCTGTATGAGTACATGCATGAGCAGCTCAGTGTAACATAACATCATTCCAAACTAGCCAGTTGGGATAGCCAAACACTCCAAACCCACCAAAAGAGCATGAAGACAGTAGCACCAGCAACAGATGGAACCCTTTTGTGATTGAATCTACTCCCTAAGCTGTAAGATTGATAGATTTCCATAAATATGTTTAGTGACAATCTTGAGTTCATGTATGGCAAAAAAACAGCAGAAATTGGAATGAAGCTGTCAGGAATGGACTGGCCAGCAATGGTGGGACTCACCTGCCTTTTGATCTGCAGTACCAGGGCTGGCCAGCGGATGCTCCCAGCAATCAGAGACTCAACTTTGCAGCCAGCTAACACCTGGAACTGTTTATGCTGGGGTATTTAAGGGATGGCCAGACCCACAGACTCTGCCTTGGTGTTGTGTTTGTCCTGGGCCCTGTATCCTGTTTCTGTCCTGCATCCTGTTTCTGAACCGCTGCTGACTTCTCCTGCTCTGATCCCGGCTCGCTCCTGAAAATCCCTCTGCCTGACCCTCTGTACTACGCTGCTTGCTACCTGCTGAACCTGGCCTGTGACCCCGACCAATTCTCGCTTGCTCCCCCCTGTACCTACCTGCCCTATTGATATTGACCCGGCCCTGCCTGACGACGGCTTGCTTGTATGTACTGTTATCTGTGGGTGGTTGGTTTGGTTGCACTGTATTATGTTTTAGTATTGCACTGCGTTTATGTTTGTATTGTTAGTGTTAATAAATTATATTGTTTATAACATATCTGAGGGTCTGCGTTTCCCTGCGTCAGCCACACACCTCTGGTCTCACCTGGGAGCCCTGACATTACACCATCCTGACCAGAAGTGGGCTGCACAGGAGAAGCCATCTTGGCTTGTTGCTGGGAAGGATGGATCTGGATGAGGTTTTGTATTTATATCTGCTAGTGTTTGATGACAGGGAGTATGCTTATCAAACTCTGAAGGAGTATCCCAGGGATGAACTGCTAGAATGTATACGGCTCGCTCATGTTCTAGTAATCAGGGCACAGAGTTCTCTGAGGTGTAGCCTTTGATTGAGGTTTGTGCTGAGTTGGTTTCATCTGGTTCCCCCCGAATGCAGGGATGAATTTTTGCCAAAGACCAGGTAGAGTCCCTGGTGTGGTTATTAGAGGATGATGTGGGTTACTTTCTGGAGCGTTATTCCACATGTTCACACAGATAAAGAGATTGTATAAACGCAGTGCAGTCATTGACCAGACAGGCTTTGTGTAAGCTCAGCTTTGTTCAACCCATACTGCAGACATGGTCACATCAACAAAGACCCAGTCCTGCTTCTAACTCTACTCCTGTATTCCCACCAGCTCCTCCAGTTACAGCCCAGTATACTTGGCTATCTACCGCATGTCAGTACCCTGTTCCCACTCGCTGCACCTATCCTGCCTTTAACCCTGTAAAAAAGCCCTCTGTAGCAACTGCTCCCTCTCTCTCCCGTTCCATCCTCCAGTTTTTTCTGTCTCCAGCTGCTGCTCCATTCGTTTGCAGACCTGCGTTTACTTGCAGTGCTCCAGTAGTTAAAACCAGAAAAAAGCGAAAATTCTTTCCAACCAATACCATCCTGCCAGTATCCAAACCGGTGAACCTGCCTTCCGTGGTTCAGCCTGAAGCCTCTACTGGCCTGATGCCTCTACTCGGCCTGATGCCTCTACTCGGCCGGATGCCTCTCTTCGGCCTGAAGCCTCTACTCGGCCCTGAAGCCTTACTCGGCCTGAAGCCTCTACTCGGCCTGAAGCCTCTACTCAGCGTGATGAACTGATCCAGCCCGATGATCCTATTAGGCCAGTTGACTCGATGCCCGCTGTTGATCCAGATGATCCGGTACCTGATCCAGTGCCCGCTGTCGTGCCAATTGACTCAGAGCCCGCTGTCATACCTGGTGACCCGGTGCCCACTGCCTTGCCAGATGACACGGTGCCCGCTGGCAAGCCAAATGACCTGATGCCTGGTGACCCAGTGCCCGCTGTCATACCTGGTGACCCGATGCCCGCTGTCGAGCCAGACAATCCGATACCTGATGACCCGGTGCCCACTGTCGTGCCTGTTGACTCGGAGCCCACTGTCTTGCCAGTCGACTCGGTGCCCGCAGTCTTGCCAGACGACTCGGTGCCCGCAGTCTTGCCAGACGACTCGGTGCCCGCAGTCTTGCCAAACGACTCGGTGCCCGCAGTCTTGCCAGACGACTCGGTGCCCGCAGTCTTGCCAGACGACTCGGTGCCCGCAGTCTTGCCAGATGACTCGGTGCCCGCTGTTCCGCCAGTTGACTCGATGCCCGCAGTCTTGCCAGACGACTCGGTGCCCACTGTCGTGCTTGGTGACTCGGTGCCCGCTGCTTCGCCTGGGGGCCCGAGACCTGTAGCCCCGTCTGGGGGTCCGGCGCCCGCCGCTCCGCCCGGAGTCCAGCCCGGTGTGCCTCTGCCCGGAGTCCAGCCCGGTGTGCCTCTGCCCGGAGTCCAGCCCGGTGTGCCTCTGCCCGGAGTCCAGCCCGGTGTGCCTCTGCCCGGAGTCCAGCCCGGTGTGCCTCTGCCCGGTGTGCCTCTGCCCGGTGTGCCTCTGCCCGGTGTACCGCTGCCCGGAGTCCTGCCCGGTGTGCCAGTCTTTGATATCCCGCCAATTACCAGACCCGGGCGGTGGAACATTTTTCCCAGCTAGGACTGTTTGGAGCGTCCTGAGGCCGCTCCTTGAGGGGGGGGTACTGTCAGGAATGGACTGGCCAGCAATGGTGGGACTCACCTGCCTTTTGATCTGCAGTACCAGGGCTGGCCAGCGGATGCTCCCAGCAATCAGAGACTCAACTTTGCAGCCAGCTAACACCTGGAAACTGATTATGCTGGGGTATTTAAGGGATGGCCAGACCCACAGACTCTGCCTTGGTGTTGTGTTTGTCCTGGGCCCTGTATCCTGTTTCTGTCCTGCATCCTGTTTCTGAACCTGCTGCTGACTTCTCCTGCTCTGATCCCGGCTCGCTCCTGACCATCCCTCTGCCTGACCCTCTGTACTACGCTGCTTGCTACCTGCTGAACCTGGCCTGTGACCCCGACCAATCTCCGCTTGCTCCCCCTGTACCTACCTGCCCTATTGATATTGACCCGGCCTGCCTGACGACGCTTGCTTGTATGTACTGTTATCTGTGGGTGGTTGGTTTGGTTTGGTTGCACTGTATTATGTTTTAGTATTGCACTGCGTTTATGTTTGTATTGTTAGTGTTAATAAATTATATTGTTTATAACATATCTGAGGTCTGCGTTTCCCTGCGTCAGCCACACACCTCTGGTCTCACCTGGGAGCCCTGACAGAAGCTACTATGGTAGACAAGATGGTTAGGAACCTTGTAGAGTATGACACGGCCCTCAGATTAGACTCCCAAGCTCTCAGTTCATTGATGCTTTTATGCACATTCAGATTGTTCTTCAACCACTACACATTTATGCTGGTATACAGGGCCACTAACAAGACATAGCAAAAAGAGACAACTCAATTCTGCTCTCCCTGACAGCTGACCATCCAACCCTGGGTAACGCAGTCTTGCTGATAGCCACTTTCCTTCAGGACTAAGCACTGGTGTAGAACTCTGCAAAGACCTCAAAGGGTTAACTGACCCCCAGACAATTACTGACCCACTTTTGACCCTTGCAGTTTTTCATGACTTTGGGGAATCCTAGGCTAACCTATACAGAAAGTGTTTTTTTTACTCTAGTGCAGGGGTCTCCAAACTTTACTGTCCTTCAAACTTTAGGGGGGCTGTACTTTGACCAATGAGAGAAAAAAATGTTCTGGTGTCAGTTGGAGCATACAGTGCTCCATCATTGGTATTAGGGGAAGTAATAGTGTCCCGTCATTGGTATCAATGGGAGGAATATTGCTCTGTCGTTGGTGTCAGTGGGAAGAATACTGCCCCATCCTTGGTATCAGTCAGAGGAAATGTGTTCCATCACTGGTGTTAGTGGAAGGAATAGTGTCCCATCATTAGTGTCAGTGGAAGGAATAGTGTCCCATTATTAGTGTCAGTGGAAGGAATAGTGTCCCATGATTGGTGTAAAAGGGAGTAATAATGCCCCATCATTGGTGTCAGTGGGAGGCATAGCACCTCATCATTAGTATCAATGGGAGGAATGGTGCCCCATGGTTCGTGTCACTGGGAGGAATAGTGTCCCATCATTGGTATCAATGGGAGGAATATTGCTTTGTCATTGGTGTCAGTGGGAGGCATAGCACCTCATCATTAGTGTCAATGAGAGGAATGGTGCCCCATCGTTGGTGTCAGTGGGAGGTATAGTGTCCCATCATTGGTATCAATGGGAGGAATATTGCTCTGTCATTGGTGTCAGTGGGAAGAATAGTGCCCCATCCTTGGTATAAGTCAAAGGAAATGTGCCCCATCATTGGTGTTAGTGGAAGGAATAGTGTCCCATCATTAGTGTCAGTGGAAGGAATAGTGTTCAATGAATGGTGTAAAAGGGAGTAATAATACCCCATCATTGGTGTCAGTGGGAGACATAGCGCCTCATCATTAGTATCAATTGGAGGAATGGTGCCCCATCGTTGGTGTCAGTGGGAAGAATAGTGTCCCACTGTCAATGTTGCTGACAGTGGTTGAATAATGCTCCAAGGGCTAGATAAAAGCAAGCAAAGGGCAGCAGTTTGGAGACTACTGCTTTAGCGTATAATAAAGCCTTCTCTCCAAAACCATTTAGCTTACACCTCATATTAGCCTACTTTCATGCTGTATTACCCAAAGCAATGATAGTGCTAGTAAAGCAATTGTGTAGGTCTGTGTGTCAAATTCAGAAAAGCTCAATGTACAGGTCCTGAACAATTGCCTTCAACCCAGTTTATTTCTACTAAAAAATTAATATTACTGATATTTAGGTATTGGTTAGACATTGGAGAGTTACAACAGAGGAAGCAAAGGAGAGCTCTAATTCCTGACAGCACAATCACAAACAATCCTCTTGTGCATCTGATTTGATCTTTACCTGACTGGAGGTTTTAAGAGAGTCAGCGTCAGCTGCATCTTCTCCAACCTGAAGGCCTGGTTTACACCTATGCGTTTTTTAGTTATTTTTACATTTTGCAGAAACTCACTACCGCTTTTTTTGGATAGGGTCAGGGACTTTTTTACCAGCAGCAGATTGCAACACGCATAGGTGTGAACCAGGCATTAATGATACAGTGATGGATTTGGACTATAAGAAACACTCTGAATTCATAGTTTCTTAATAGCTGTAGAGTGTCGAAGTTTGCTTTAACACATACCTTGATATGGATTCCCATAGACCAGTCCATGGGCCTGAGAGGTGGGGGAAAACGAACCAGAGGCTGCAAAACGTTCCCTTAAAAGTTGACTGTTCAGCTCAGCTACTTCTGCTTGCTTTCTCTGTAAATAATTAATACATTTTGTTAGAGAATATAACTGGATACTAACACTTATAAATAAAGTTGATCCAGGGAATATCCGATTGCCTCTCGGGGGATCGGGAAGGAATTTTTTTTTACCTGCAGGAGCAAATTGGATCATGTTTTGCTGGGTTTTTTTTTTACTTCCTCTGGATCAACTGTGGGTATAAGATTATAAATTTTTTTTTTTAATGGTTGAACAGGATGTACTTTTGTCTTTTTTCAGCCAGACTATGTAACTATGTAGAGAGAATCAAGCATAAAATGAACACACACATTACCTATAAACCTAAAATGAAACTCAGCCTCTGAATACTACTGCACATTCAGACAGACGCTTGACTACTACTATGTTGAGAAATTTTAAACCATGATGTGTATTTATTATTCATTCAACACCTTAAGTTATCCCATGCTTTAAGCAGCTACAGTTGTGTTCAAAATAATAGCAGTCAGACATCACTAACCTGATCAATCACTGTTTTTGGTAGAAATGATATTTCTACATGGCAAATAATTTACTAGCAGGTGTAGTGAAGTATCATAAATCCAACATACCCAACAGTCAGGACATGCATGCTGCCGATTCTGTGTAATTGAATCACTAATTGAAAGGGGCGTGTTCAAAATAATAGCAGTGTGGAGTTCTATTAGTAAGGTCATTCATTCTTTGAAAAACAGGTGGCAATTATTGCCCTTATTTAAGGAAGGAAGGCAGCAAATGTTGTACATGCTGATTACAGTGCATTTCTCTCTGAAATTCTGAGGAAAATGGGTTGTTCCAGACATTGTTCAGACGAACAGCATACCTTGATTAAAAAGTTGATTGGAGAGGGGAAAACATATAAAGAAGTGCAGAGAATGATAGGCTGCTCAGCTAAAATGATCACAAATGCTTTAAAATGGCAACCAAAACCTGAAAGACGTGGAAGAAAGCGAAAAACTACCATTTGAATGGATAGAAAAATAGCCAAAATGGCAAGGACTCTGCCAACAATCAGCTCCAGGAAGATCAAAGAAGGTCTAAAGTTCCTGTGAGTACTGTTACAATTAGAAGACGCCTATGTGAAGCCAAGCTATCTGCAAGAAGCCCTGCAAAGTCCCACTGTTGAAAAAAAAACGTGCTGAAGAGGGTACAATTTGCCAAAGAGCACACTGACTGGCCTAAAGAGAAATGGCGCAACATTTTGTGGACTGATGAAAGTAAGATTGTTCTTTTTGGGTCTAGTGGCCGGAGACAGTTTGTCAAACGACCCCCAAACACTGAATTCAAGCCACAGTACACTCTGAAGACAGTGAAGCATGGTTGCGCAAGCATCATGATATGGGGATGTTTCTCATACTACGGTGTTGGGCCTATTTATCGCATACCAGGGATCATGAATCAGTTTGAATACATCAGAATACTTGAAGAGGTCATGCTGCCTTATGCTGAAGAGGAAATGCCCTTGAAATGGGTGTTCCAACAAGACAACGACCTCAAACACACCAGTAAACGTGCAACATCATGGTTCCAGACCAACAAGATTGACGTTATGGAGTGGCCAGCCCAATCCCCGGATCTTAATCCAATAGAAAACCTGTGGGGTGACATCAAAAATGCAGTTTCTGAGACAAAACCAAGAAATAGAGAAGAACTGTGGAATGTAGTCCAATCATCCTGGGCTGGAATACCTGTTCACAGGTGCCAGAAGTTGGGTGACTCCATGCAACACAGATGTACAGCAGTTCTCAGAAACAGTGCTTATACAACGAAATATTCATTAAGTGATTCAAAGGAAAGCAAAATCTTCAAACATTTTTCAGTTTATATAGTGAATGTTTGAGTTTGTAAAGAAGAATACAAACACAGTTTTTTTTTTTTTGAACAGTCTAATATTCACTTTTCTTTCATTTTTTTAGAGGAACAACACAAATTTGATATATTTTTCTTCATGTTTTGATTTGGAATAGAATGTGTAGTGTTACCAATGCATTTGTGTGTATGGAAATAAAAGCTATTAGAAGGATTTTGAGCTTTATTCACTTTTCTCAACACACTGCTATTATTTTGAACACAACTGTAATTCCCACACAACTCCATACAACTGGTAGAATCTGACTTTGAACACCTGCTCTGGACTGAATGCTCTGAAAAACCCACTTCAGTGCTGTATAATCATCTGTTCTTGGATTCCCTCCCTAATCTCTCTACCTTCAGACAGGATATTCCAGAATTAGATGATGAGGACTGGGAAGACATTTGGAATCTCCCCTTTCGTCACTTGGTCTCTTTAAGAGACAGACTCACAAGACAAATTTAGACCCACTAAAATTGTACATTATTTATTTAGCTTATTTTACTCTATATAGGCTTTACAAAATGGATGCTTCAGCCTCACCAGAGTGCTGGTGATGTGCCGATTCTCCTGGTGATTTCTCTCACACCATCTGGAATTGTCCCGCGATTACCAGCTATTGGGGCAAAGGAATCTCCACTGTTAATAACATTGCAGAAACCTCTTTTGTACCCTCCAAAAGTAAGTCTCTGCTTACTGGGTCCTTTCCCACTGTAGCAGAAAGGACCATGCTTAGTCTTCTCCTTTTTTATGTTCGAAAGGCTATTACAATGTCATGGAAGAAAGTTACTCCCCCCTCTCTTACCTTTTGGAAATATATGGTCAATGTTAATCTACCTATGTATAAAGATACCAAATAGAGGATTCCCGAATAAATACAATAAAGTATGGTCAAAGTGGTTGGTTGAACTCTCTACAGCTGTAATGCTTGATAGATCCTAGAATCTTTTGTTAAATCCTGACTCTTTGCGCCCATTGCCTGTAACTAAGGCGTCATCTTTTGTCTGGGGGCATCTTCTTTTAGTATGAGCCTGGTCAGCATGTATTAATCTTATGTTTTCTGAGCACGAACCATGCCTTTGTACTTTAGCAATGTCTGTAATCCACTTGTCTACAAACCCAGAGATACTCTCAGCGGCCACTTTATTACGTACAACTTTCTAGTACCGGGTTGGACCCCCTTTTGCCTTCAGAACTGTCTTAAATCTTCATGGCATAGATTCAACAAGGTGTTGGAAACATTCCTCAGAGATTTGGGTCCATATTGACATGAGTTACTGTTGCCTTTCTATCATCTCAAAACCAATCTGCCCATTCTCCTCTGACCTCTGACATCAACAAGGCATTTTCATCCACACAACTGCGGCTCACTGGATATTTTCACTTTTTCAGACCATTCTCTGTAAACCCTAGAGATGGTTGTGTGTGAAAATCCCAGCAGATCAGCAGTTTTTGAAATACTCAGACCAGCCAGTCTGGCTCCAACAACCATGCCAAGTTCAAAGTCACTTAAATCCCCTTTCTTCCCAATTCTGATGCTCAGTTTGAACTTCAGCAAGTCATCTTCACCATGCCTAGATACCTAAATGCTACCATATGACTGGCTGATTAGCAATTTGTGTTATCAAACAACTGAACAGGTGTACCTAATAAAGTGGCTGTTTCCCTTCTATTCTGCCCCCTGCGAGGGCAGATTATTTTTGTTTTGGTTTGCCTTTGTTATTGGAGTTTCACTAGTGTATTGTAATTGTAATATGCTAATAAAAAGATATTTTAAAAAAAAAGAAATTGCCCCCAACATTTGCCTAAAATGCAACTCTGATTTTTTTTTCTGGGTAGGCCATGAAGCCTAAAGTCTAGCAACAACTAAACTCTAGCTATGTGGTCTTTTTGGATTTTTTTATAGTTATGCTGGGAAAGTTGACACTTCCTGGATCCAAATACAATCATTCCATAAAGTGGATAGCATGGTGATGGAACCCCCTTTCAAAGCATCAAAGGTTCGTCAAACCCTTCCAAATCTTAAATATTTTGGACACAAAAAGGAAGACAGAGTTTCTCCACTCTATACAAAAAACACATTTGACTAGTTTTGACTTGCATTTGGATTTAAGACTAAGTACAAGAAGAAACTGTAAGACCAAGACTGCATTCACCAAAAGACAGATTAACAGTTCCTTTAAGATTATTACCATATCACCAGTTCACAGAGGACTAATCTAAAATAGAAGAAACTAGCTAATCAGTCTCTGATATGTGCTTTGGTATGCCCAAAATGCAACTGAGCACAACAATTTTTCTGATGGTTTGTGAATGATTTCATATATGCAGTCTATTTGTCTAAATTTCCACTCCACTATGCTCCATTATGAACATTCTAACTATTGTATGTTAGTTCTTGTTGCTGTCAGAACAGTGCTGTAGGTCTTTGCGAAGTGATTTGGCACTCAAAAATTGTAAAAATAGTGAAATATAATCTTCTAAGCAAAAACTTCCCTACACTAAAGCGCCATCCTCATACTTAACTCTCCCTGTACATGTTATGTTTTAACAAAAAATGTCCTAACCCCCTCAATAGCCCCTTCAATACACACAGCTAAGTCCGTACTTACCTCTTCTGACTGCTATAGCATCCTATGCTGTCTGCCGCCTGGCCATTACAGATACAGTGTTGGGCTCCCTGTACTTTAATGTCCATACCACAGGAGCAAGGTCCCATTCAAGTCTATGGGACATTAGCGTGCAGACATCTAGATTTTTACCTGCGGGGTTGTAGAAAATGTGGTAGGCCACAGCCAACGGAAAGGAAGAAAGGAGGGGGGGGGGGGCATAACTTAGCTCTGTGTATTGAGGGAGCTTGCATACTTGGTGGGGTGTGATAATGTATGTTAAAATTCAACATGTAGCATTACATTTAACCCCTAAACCGTTGTGGAAGAAAATCGAAACTACAGCTATTCTTAAAAATGTTTCTTCCCCCTCCTCATACTTATCCTACCTAACCTGTCTAAAAAAAAAATCTGCGTACCTACCTACTTTCAATCTGCCCCAGTCCAGTCATGTGATCCTGTAGCTCTGTGTAAAGAGGCACTCAAAAATGTTGTCAGCGCTCCCTCCACTTCCCTGCAGCAATTGCTCGCTG